CATAATTCGTTAACTCAGACAAGAACCTTGCCTTTCAGTTTAGAATTTGATTAATAAAAGTATGATTACTATTGCAACAAATGGATTTTTCGCACCAGAGTGAGCTGCAGCAAATGCACAGAGTTGCCCTTTTACGTAGAATTTGACTGATGTATTGTACTTTTTAATTAAAAAAACAAGAACCCTGTATTACTCTTTTTTTTTTAAAAAAATGCTTTTTTCCCCTCTCTTGACTCGCAGACATCTGCACTGATTTAATCTGGTTTTGATGCACCGTAAATAATGCTCCCTTAGAAAATATGGAGAGAAAAACCCATACTTCCTGACATAATGATTTTTTTTTTGCACATTATGGACATAACTTCTGAAATAGGACAATCCATAAAAAATATGAAATATAGCCAAAGTCCTAGATATAATTCTGGAGACGGGTGGGAATAATAATATTAAGATGCAGTTTTGCAGTCTGGGGAGAATGTTTTTAATTTGTTTACAGAAACGAATGCCCAATCTAAACAAATGGTAAATTACAGTATATGTGTTGAATTGGTATCTCTCTCTCTCCCTCTCTCCCCCTCTCTCTTCCATCTCTCTATCTCTCTCTCTTTTCTCTCTCTCTCATCCCTTTCTCGCATCCATCTATCATATCTATCTACCATTGTCTGTCCATCTGTCTGTCTGTCTATCTGTTATCTATCTATCTATCTATCTATCTATCTATCTATCTATCTATCTATCTATCTATCTAGTCATCTATCATCTATCATCCATCTCTCTCTCATCCATCTCTCTCTTTCTTATCTATCTATCTATCTATCTATCTATCTATCTATCTATCTATCTATCATCATCTATCTATCATCATCTCTCATCCATCTCTCATCCATCTCTCTCTCTTATTTATCTCTTATCTGTCTGTCTATCTATCTATCATCTATCTATCATCCATCTCTTATCCATCTCTCTCTCATCCATCTCTCTCTCTCCTATCTATCTATCTATCTATCTATCTATCTATCTATCTATCTATCTATCTATCTATCATTATCTATCGTCATCTCTCATCCATCTCTCATCCATCTCTCTCCTATCTATCTATCTATCTATCTATCTATCTATCTATCTATCTATCTATCTATCTATCTATATCTATCATCTATCATCTCTCTCCCCCTCTCTATCATCTCTCTCTCTCTCTCTCTATCATCTATCTATCATCTATCTGTCATCTCTCATCCATCTCTCATCCATCTCTCTCATCCATCTTCTTATCTCTCTCTCTCTCATCTGTCTGTCTGTCTGTCTGTCTATCTGTCTATCTATCCATCCATTCTCTCTCTCTCTCTCTCTCTATCTATCTATCTATCTATCTATCTATCTATATCTATCTCCCATCTCCCATCTCCCATCCATCTATCTTATCTCTCTCTCTCTAATCTATCATCTCTCTCTCTCTCTCTCTCTCTTTTTCCATCTCTCTCTCTCTCTCATCTCTATATTGCATAAAATGATGGATCTTCCATTTATTTATTTATTTATTTATTTATTTATTAGATTTTTATACCGCCCCCTCTCCCGAAGGACTCGGGGCGGTGCACAGCCAAAGTTAAAAACATACAATATAAACAATTAAAATACGTTTAAAACAGAATTAAATCTAAGATGGCTCCCCAATTTAAAATGCCTTACCCATACCCCTATAAAAAGACGAATTTAAAATTTAAAAATTTAAAATTTCCACATTTAAAAAGGGGGAAGATTTAGGCCAGGCCAGCTTGATAAAATAGAAAAGTCTTAAGTGCGCGGCGGAAGGTGCGCAGATCCGGGATCCTACGTATCTCCGGGGGGAGCTCGTTCCAAATCGTAGGTGCCCCCACAGAGAAGGCTCTCCCCCTAGGGGCCGACAGCCGACATTGTTTGGCCGACGGCACCCGGAGGAGCCCCTCTCTATGGGAGCGTACTGGCCGGTGGGAGGCTATTGGTGGTAGCAGGCGGTCCCGTAAATAACCAGGTCCTAAGCCATGGAGCGCTTTAAAGGTGATAACCAGAACCTTGAAGCGCACTCGGAAGACCACCGGGAGCCAGTGCAGCTCGCGCAGGAGAGGTGTCACATGGGAACTCCATGTCACTCCCATCACCACCCGCGCGGCCGCACTCTGCGCCAGTTGGAGCCTCCGAGTGCACCTCAAGGGGAGCCCCATGTAGAGAGCATTGCAGTAATCCAGACGAGAAGTAACGAGGGCATGAGTGACTGTGTGTAGGGAGTCCCGATCTAGATAGGGACGCAACTGGCGGATCAGGCGAACCTGATGAAAAATCCTCCCGGACACGGCCGTCACATGCTCTTCTAACGACAGCGCGTGAATCCAGGAGGACGCCCAAGTTGCGAGCCCTATCCGTGGGGGCCAATGATTCGCCCCCAATAGTCAGCGATGGCATTAGCTGACTATATCGGGACGTCGGAAACCACAGCCACTCGGTCTTGGATGGGTTGAGCCTGAGCCTGTTCCTCCCCATCCAGATCCGTACAGCCTCCAGGCACTGGGACATCACTTCAAGGGCATCGTTGGGGTGATCCGGGGTGGAGATGTACAGCTGGGTGTCGTCAGCGTACTGATGGTACTCCACCCCAAAACCACGGATGATCTCGCCCAGCGGCTTTACATAAATGTTGAACAAAAGGGGCGAGAGGACCGATCCCTGCGGCACCCCACATATGAGGGGCCTCGGGGTCGACCTCTGCCCCCCTGTCAACACAGACTGCGACCGGTCGGAGAGAAAGGAGGAGAACCACCTTAGTACGTGCCTCCCACCCCCAACTCTTCCAACCGGTGCAGCATGATACCATGGTCGATGGTATCAAAAGCCGCTGAGAGATCTAACAGGACCAGGACAGAGGGACAACCCCTGTCCCGAGCCCTCCAGAGATCATCAACCAACGCGACCAATGCCGTTTCCGTGCTGTATCCAGGCCTGAAACCCGACTGGAACGGATCCAGATACGACGCTTCATCCAGGTACTGGGGAAGCTGTCCCGCAACCACACTCTCAACAACCTTCGCCACAAAACGAAGGTTGGAGACTGGACGATAATTAGCCAATATTGCCGGGTCCAGGGAAGGCTTCTTGAGGAGGGGCCTCACCACCGCCTCCTTAAGGGCGGCGGGGAAGACACCCTCACCCAATGAAGCATTTATAATCCCCTGGAGCCAGCCTCGCGTCACCTCCCGGGAAGCCAGCACTAACCAGGAGGGACACGGGTCCAACAAACATGTGGTCGCGTTCAATCTACCCAGAATCCTGTCCACGTCATCTGGGGTCACAGGATCAAACTCATCCCAGATAACAGTCTCAAGACCTGCCTCCGTCACTCTCGCTGGATCTACCCAGTCAGAGTCCAGACCTTCCCGAATCTGAGTGATTTTGTCATACAGATACTGAACAAAGTCCTCGGCTCTTCCCTCCAAGGGGTCCTCCCGCGCTTCCTGGTGGAGCAGGGAGCGGGTCACCCTAAACAGGGCGGCCGGGCGATTATCTGATGACGCAATAAGAGCAGCAAAATGCGTACATTTTGCTGCTTTTATCGCCACTAGGTAAGTCCTAATATGGGATCTAACCAGTGTCCGGTCCGATTCAGAAAGACTAGCTCTCCAACTACTCTCTAGGCGTCTTTTCCGGCGCTTCATCTCCCTCAGCTCCTCGGTAAACCAAGGAGCAAGGCGAGATCCGCGCCGGGTCAGAGGCCGCAAAGGCACGACTCGATCCAGGGCCCCAGCGGCCGCCCTATCCCAGGCGGCCACTAGGTCTCCAGTCGAGGCGTGAGCCAGAACCTCAGGAATTGGCCCAAGCTCCGTCTGGAACCTATCAGGTTCCATCAGGCGCCTGGGGCGGTACCATCTTATCGGTTCCGCCTCCCTGCAGCGGGGTGCCGCGGTACGAAGGTCAAGGCGAAGGAGAGAGTGATCCGACCATGACAAGGGCTCGATGACTATATCCCCTATCTCAAGATCACTCAACCACTGTCCAGAGACAAAAAGCAAGTCCAGTGTGTTTCCCCCAGTGTGCGTAGGGCCATGAATTAGTTGGGTCAGATCCATGGCCGTCATGGAAGCCATGAACTCCTGAGCCACCTCAGACGTCTCGCCCACAGACGGCAGGTTGAAATCCCCCATGACCATAAGTCTGGGGGTATCAACCGCCACCGCAGCAATAACGTTGAGTAGCTCAGGCAGGGTTGCTGCCACGCGGCAGGGAGCCAGGTACGTGATCAGCAAGCCCATCTGAACCCCATGGCCCCACTTCACAAGGAGGGACTCACAACCAGCTGTCTGAGGTACAGTGGTCTCCCTAGGCCTAAGGCCTTCTCTAATAATAACCGCTACTCCCCCGCCCCTCCCTTGTGACCTCGGCTGATGGAATGCGCGGAAGCCTGGTGGGCACATTTCTACCAGAGGGACCCCTCCCTCCGGCCCAACCAGGTCTCTGTAATACCCGCCAGGTCCGCTCCCCCCTCCTGAACAAGATCACAGATGAGGGGGGCTTTATTTACTACGGACCTGGCGTTGCACAACATCAGACGAAGGCCCGGGCCGTGAGGATCTGTGCAACCTGGCAAACGGGTGGAGCTTTGGGGGCCGGAGCACCCTACCGCTTGGAGACAGCGGGTGCGTGCTCCCTTAACATGATATGGCCCCCTGCTCCCGCCATATCTACCCCTCCCACTCACAGTACTGATGGTAAAAACACAGTCCGAACAAGCTCGACCCCCTCCATTGCCCCGGGTCCCCCACCCGCCCCGCCGCATTTCCTGCATTTACTTATCTTTTAGAAGCACGTGGCTAAAATTCTGACCACCGTGACTGGCCTTGATGAGTAAGGAACATGGAACAAAGAACAAAGAGGTTTTTGTACAGTTTGTGGTGGAACGTGACTCATTTGATAGTGTTATCACCCACCTGTGTTGGCACCACTGTGAATAGGAGTTGTGTAACTTCCTCCTTCTGACTTGGAGCTTCTGGCGGGGAAATACCCTGCCAGCCCTATAAAGAGGGCTTCCTTCTCCTGCCTTCTTCACATCAGTCAAGACCGAGAAGATGAAGTTCCTTGCAGCTGCTGGACTGCTGCTGCTGCTGCTTATGCAGAATGCGATTGCAGAAAGTCCATCTACAGCAATGCCAAAGGAAATGGTAAGGAAAGTTTGCAATTCACCTAGTCTGTAGCCTGATGCTGGTGAATTAGAGTCCTAGAATGACATCCAGTTTAAGCTAAGGAAGGTTGCATTGGGCTCTTAATTTTGCAAAAGACCAGGGGCTCTGATTTGCTAGTTTATTATTCTGCAACTATCTGCTGCGGAATAGAGAATAATACAGCCTGATGCCTATTTTTCTCAACCCACACGTGTGCCTCCTGCACAATACTAGAGGCAGCCTCCCTGGCAAGAGTTCTTAATCCATAAATCAATGCAGGGAAGGTGAAAGTGGGATCAACGGTGGAAAAATATGTCTTTATTTCAGTTACACGCATTGATTGCTTTTTAAAGTGAAGATAGCAGCCTGCCTCAAAGGGCCTCTTAGCAAGTTGACGAGAATCTTCCCATGAACGGTTATGGCAGCCAGGATGATCAAAAAAAAAAAAAAAAGGAGATGAAATGGACAGCAGTTCCTAGGTGCCATCTGCAGACCAAAAGGTCAACTTGCTCGGTGTATTCAGAAACAACAAAGGGAACAGAGTTGGAAGGGACCTTGTAGGTCATCTAGTCCAACCCCCCGCCCCCAAGCAGGAGACCCTATGCCATTTCTGACAGATGGCAGTCCAGTCTCTTCTTGAAAGCTTCCAGTGATGAAGCTCCCACAACTTCTGAAGGCAACTTCTGTTCCATGGGTTGATTTTTCTCACTGTCAGAAAATTCCTCCTTATTTCTAGGTTGAATCTCTCCTTGATCAGTTTCCATCCATTAATCCTTGTCTGGCCTTCAGGGGCTTTGGAAAATAGCTTGACCCCCTCCTCTCTGTGGCAGCCCCTCAAATATTGGAAGACTGCTCTCCTGTCTCCCCTGGTCCTTCTTTTCACTAGACTAACCATGCCCAGCTCCTGCAACTGTTCATGATATGTTTTAGCCTCCAGTCTCCTAATCATCTTAGTTGCTCTTCTCTGCACTCTTTCTAGAGTCTCAACATCTTTTTTATAATGTGGTGACCAAGTCTGGATGCAGTATTCCAAGTGGGGTCTTACTAAGGCTTTATAGAGTGCTATTAGTACCAACCTTGATCTTGATTGTATCCCTCTGTTCATGCAATTTAGGATGAAAAGAACAACATAACAGGCCTGTGATATGAACATTTTGGGGGTCTTTTCTAGAAGACTTTATATGCAATTTTGGAACGAGGAGATGGAGAACTTTATTTCTCTCCTTAGGAATCATCTTTGCAGGAGGGGTTACATTTTGGCTGACATGATCTCGTCTGTCTTAATACCCAGTCTTCCCACCAAGGATCTTGAGAAAGCAGGGATCAACTGCATTTAAACTATAGATTTATTAGACACAGAGGAGACATCATCAGGTCACTCTCAAACTGTAAACAAAAGAGGTCAGAGAAGTTCATGCCCAGGGTGGACTTCTGAATTTCAAAACTTCTTAGAAAGAAGAGATTCCTGATTTTAAATGGAGATGAGGAGATGGACAGAGAGCTCAAGGTCATGTACTTGTCTGCTTTCATCCTTCCATGTTCTTGAACATCTCAAGATCTTTTCCTGACAGTATTTTGTTTGCACCAGAGATTATACTAAGGCAATGCATTTTTAAATTTCCCACCATGCATTTGAGGGACATGTCTTCCAGCCATATTATGGCCTGTCACTACATGTATTTTCCCCAGCAAGGTAGGAAAGAGGTCCTCACCATGTAGGATGTGGCTCATAAAAGGGCTGTGTCATGGCTCCTCCCGGCTGAGCCCAGATTGTTGGGCGCCGGCTACGCGTGTCTCAGCCAGGTGCCCTTCGCTGCTGATCCGGTCCACTGCCAAGCATTCGAGGGCCCTGCTGCTCATTCAGGCAGCTCCCAAAGCTACCGTACTGCCTTTTCCCATGCTACATCTTCCCTGAGTCTTCATGCTGTCCGGTTTCAGGTTGGTGCTTGGGGCTCAGGACCCTGGACAGCACCCCAGGTTCTGGGGAGCTGATGAATTGTTTTAATGCAGATTTGGGTTAATGTCTGGGTTCCAAGTAACGCTTCCAATGCAAGAAAGCTTGGAGGCTTGAAGTTACTTAAAGCTCCATTTTATTAGAGATGTCATATTGGCACATCTGGGAAAACCCAGATCTGAAAGCTTCCAGGTTTTCCTCACAGTCCCTGCCCAGCACCCAGAAGTCTATCACAGGCTGTTTCTATCCTTGAATTGCTCCTGGAATCCTCACATACATGCTGCTTAATTACATCTTCCTTCTTTATCAGAAAGTGCCATTATAGAAATTGCTCTTACAATTCCAGCATCTCAACTTGGAAACTAAGTTCTTGGATGCTTAGGACTTGAATGGAAGGGCACTTACAATTCCCAAGGAACTGCAAGGTTTTGTGATCAAAAACATTCTTTATCTGGTCGTCCCAAACTCTGCAAGGATGGGTCTCTGAGGTGCCAAAAAATGCAACTCAACTCATAGATACTTCTTTTTTTCATGTTTCTGAACAAAGATAGAGCTGCTTTAAAGAGCTGACCCATCCTTCTGGGCTGCTTACACCAAAGACAGTATACTAACTAGCATATTGCCTCCAACAATCTGGGTCCTCATTTTACCCACCTCGGAAGGATGGAAGGCTGAGTCAACCTTGAGCCGGTGAGATTTGATCCGCTGATCTGCTGAACTAGCAGTCAGCTGAAGTAGCTGCAGTACTGCACTCTAACCACTGCGCCACCTCGGCTCTTACATTTAGAAATGTAGTTTAGTACTAGGGTTTAGGATGGGGACAAGTTAAGACCAGAGACCTGTCTTTAAGAGAAACCACTGTCCCATGTTCCAGTGCAAAAATCATATAGGAAATGAGAGAGAGGGAATCACCTTAGCTCTGCTCCAAGGCAGAGGTGGGTTCCAGCAGGTTCTGACCAGTTCTGGAGAACCGGTAGTGGAAATTTTGAGTAGTTTGGAGAACCGGTAGTAAAAATTCTGACTGGCCCCACCCCCATCTATTCTCTGCCTCCCAAGTCCCAGCTAATCGGGAGGAAATGGGGATTTTACAGTAACCTTCCCCTGGAGTGGGGTGGGAATGGAGATTTTACAGTATCCTTTCCCTGCCACACCCACCAAGCCACGCCCACCAAGCCACACCCACAGAACCAATAGTAAAAAATTTTGAAACCCACCACTGTTCCAAGGATATTAAAAATGCATGGCATTATCTTCTGTTTTTCTCTCTCTTCTTCTCATAAACATCCAGCAAGCTCTTGGAGAAAAAGCAAAAGCTAATGCTTGCAGGCTTTTCTCCATCAGATCATCGAATAGCCCAGCCCTTGCCAGCAAGAGCACTTTATGTTTGCTTATCGCTGTGTGAAGGTAGCGTTTTTTATGCCTAGGATACACAGAGGTAGCCAGTTTGATATAGAGCTTAAAGGCAGTGAGGTAGAAACTGAGAAACGTTGAGTCTTGGTCTGCTGTGAGACACAATGCCAACTGCTTGAGCTTGAGCGAATCTCTCTTTCTCTCCCAGCTCTGGGAGGTCCTTGGTGCTCCCTGAGCTTGGTTGTTTTCTTGCAGACATTTCATGACCCAAACTAGGTAACATCATCAGTGCTAGAAGGGAGTGGGATTTGTGGAGAGGAGGAGGGGGAGGAGAAGAAGAAGGAGAAGAAGAGGAAGAAGAAGAGGAAGAAGAAGGAGAAGGAGAAAGAGGAGAAGGAGAAGGAGGAGGAGAAGGAGAAGGAGGAGGAGAAGAGGAGAAGGAGAAGGAGAAGGAGAAGAGGAGGAGGAGGAGAAGGAGAAGAGGAGAAGGAGGTGGAGGAGGAGGAGAAGGAGAAGATGAGGAGGAGGAGAAGAAAGAGAAGAAGAGGAGGAGAAAGAGGAGGAGGAGGAGAAGGAGAAGAGGAGAAGGAGGCAGAGGAGAAGGAGGAGGAGAAGGAGAAGAGGAGAAGAGGAGAAGGAGAAGAGGAGGAGGAGATTATCTTCTGTTTTTCTCTCTCTTCTTCTCATAAACATCCAGCAAGCTCTTGGAGAAAAAGCAAAAGCCAATGCTTGCAGTCTTTTCTCCATCAGGTCATCGAATAGCCCAGCCCTTGCCAGCAAGAGCACTTTATGTTTGCTTATTGCTGTGTGAAGGTAGCGTTTTTTATGCCTAGGATACACAGAGGTAGCCAGTTTGGTATAGAGATTAAAGGCAATGAGGTAGAAACTGAGAAACGTTGAGTCTTGGTCTGCTGTGAGACACAATGCCAACTGCTTGAGCTTGAGTGAGTCTCTATTTCTCTCCCAGCTCTGGGAGGTCCTTGGTGCTCCCTGAGCTTGGGTGTTTTCTTGCAGACATTTCATGACCCAAACTAGGTAACATCATCAGTGCTAGAAGGGAGTGGGATTTGCGGAGAGGAGGAGGGGGAGGAGAAGAAGAAGGAGAAGAAGAGGAAGAAGAAGAGGAAGAAGAAGGAGAAGGAGAAGGAGGAGAAAGAGAAGGAGAAGGAGGAGGAGGAGGAGGAGAAGAGGAGGAGGAGAAGAGGAGGAGAAGGAGAAGGAGAAGAAGAGGAGGAGGAGGAGAAGGAGGCAGAGAAGGAGGCGGAGAAGGAGAAGAGGATGAGAAGAAGGAGAAGGAGAAGAGGAGGAGGAGAAGGAGGAGGAGGTGAAGAAGGAGAAGGAGAAGGAGAAGAGGAGGAGAAGAAGGAGAAGGAGAAGAGGAGGAGGAGGAGGAGGAGAAGAAGAGGAGAAGGAGGCGGAGAAGGAGAAGGAGAAGAGGAGGAGGAGGAGAAGGAGAAGAGGAGGAGAAGAAGGAGGAGGAGAAGGAGGAAGAGGAGGAGGAGAAGGAGAAGGAGAAGAGAAGAAGGAGGAGAAGGAGAAGGTGGACAATATGGTGTCCTTAGTGCTATCTGAGCTTGCTTGTTTCTTGCAGAGCTTTCATTGCCCAAACTAGGTAACATCATTAGTGCTAGAAGGGATTGGGGTTTGCAGAGAGGATGATGATGATGAAGAAGATGAAGAGGAGGAGGAGGAGGAAGGGGAAGAGGAGAGGACTGTAGGGTCCTTGGTGGTTTTCTTGCAGACGTTTCATTACCCATTATCGCCAGTGCAAGGAGAAGGAGGTCACTTCCAAAACAAACAGCCAAGAAAAAAAAAATTGCATGGATTTGACCAAGTAGTTGCCAGGAATCACAAAGATACAATAAAGCCCATAAAAACAAACAAACCACCTTCCCAGAGATAAGTGCATCACTCCTGGCTGGGTTTGAAATGCAGAAATTCAATACTCAATGTGCCACACTGTGCTGGTCATCAATTAAAAGCAGATCAATAACGACACTTGTATCTATCTACCCATCCGTCTGTCTTCCAGTATCCAACTTCAGCACGGTATCTGCCTCCCGTATTTCCAGAGCCAAGTGGTCCTGCAGAGGTAAACGGTTTTAAGATTCTCTTTCTTTTAAAAATTGAGGTGTTTGCAATGAAACTGAACACTGAGTGAAATGAAACTAGTCAGGGCAGAGCAAAAGAAGCAACTTTATGTGCCACACAAGACTTTGCGGGGATTGAATCTGTCTGTCTGTCAGTCTACTTATCTACCCATCTACCTATCTCTCTCTCTCTCTCTTAGCTCTCTCTATCTTTCTTATCTCTCTCTCAATCTATCTATCTATCATATCTATCTATCATCTCTTCTTTCTCTCTCTCTCTATCATATCTATCTATCTATCTATCTATCTATCTATCTATCTATCTATCTATCTATCTATCATCATCATCATCTATCACCTATCATTTCTCTCTTATCTATCTATCTATCTATCTATCTATCTATCTATCTATCTATCTTGTCTATCTGTCTGTCTCTTTCTCTCTCTATAATATCTCTCTATCAATCTATATCTATCTATCTCTGTCAATCATCTATCTATCATCTCTCTTTCTCTCTATCATCTCTATCTATCTATCTATCTATCTATCTATCTATCTATCTATCTATCAAATCATCATCATCTATCTTTCATCTCTCTCTCTCTCTCTATCTATCTATTCATCCATCCATCATCTATCTATCTATCTATCTATCTATCTATCTATCTCTATCAATCATCTATCTATCTATCTATCTATCTATCTATCTATCTATCTATCTCTATCTATCTATCTATCTATCTATCTCTATCAATCATCTATCTATCATCTCTCTCTATCATATCATATCTATCTATCTATCTCTATCAATCATCTATCTATCATCTCTCTCTATCATATCATATCTATCTATCTATCATCCATCCATCCATCCATCCATCCATCCATCCATCCATCCATCCATCTATCTATCTATCTATCTATCTATCTATCTATCTATCTATCTATCTATCTATCTATCTATCTATCTATCTATCATCGATCTCTATCTATCTATCTATCTATCTATCTATCTATCTATCTATCTATCTATCTATCTATCATGTCTGTCTGTCTGTCTGTCTGTCTGTCTCTCTCTCTCTCATATCTCTCTCTCATCTCTCTCTCTTCATCTATCTTTCTTTCCTGCCTGAGCAGGGGGTTCAACTAGAAGACCACCAAGGCCCCTTCCAACTCTGTTATTCTGTTCAGTGATGATGGCTTAAACCTTTGATAGCGACTTTGTCTAATTTTATTTTTAAATGTGTCTAAGAGGCAGTCCACACCACTGATTTATAGCCTCATCCAGCCATCACTGTGCTGATATATCACTAACGTGTAGAGCCTTAATAGTGCCACCATGAAGGTGAGGTCCCTTGATAAATCACCAATACTGAAGACAGCTAAGTGAGTGACATGTTGCAAAAACTCTTGCGCTGGTTGCCCCAAATAAGTTCTTTTTCTTTCCTTAAAAAACATAAGAGAGAACCGAAGAAGCTTCGTGGATGATAAGTACTATGTTTTCAAGGAAAAGAACCCCAAGAAAATTAAGTTCTCTTGGAAAAAGCACCTTTGGGACAACCATGACCTAGATGTCTGAGAATCTCCGTAGACTCTAGCCCTGGTTAGTTCCAAAATCCATGGGAGACAACAAAGTGAACCCTTGATTGCAATCTCGTGCATCCCAAATACATATATATTTATTTAACAAGGACCATTTTCATTTGCTTATGGAGAGTCTCCATCATCCAGGTCACGACTGTCTCCAAAGTGCTTTTTCCAAAGGCAACTGGATTTTCTTGGAGTTTTTTCCACTTCTCATCCAAGAAGCTTCTTCGTTTCTCTTTTATTTTTTTTAAGGAGAAAAAAAAGAACTGGAGTAGGTAGGCGTAGGATTGAGTAAAAATTTAGGTGACCTGTAGAAATATAGTTCATTGTAGGAGTTTAGAGCTCAAAATATTGTGAATTTTGAAGTGTTTTCCACGTCTCTAGTAGCAACTCTTCTCCGAAACACAGAAAATTACACTTATGTAATTACTTTTCAGGTGATGTACCGCTGAGCCAGATATAAAATTAACTAGAGGTAGAAAATTAACTAGATGTAGAAAATTAACTAGATGTAGAACAAAGAATTTCTTTTCATTATATCTCCAGTGTCTAAGAACATTCAAGTTTTCCTTTTCAAATTAGTGAAATGTGCATTTCCTTTTAATCACATTTTAACAAAATTCTCCAGAAACTGGTTTGGCATGGAAAGACAATCCTCAACCAATTTCTGGAGCCTGAAGATCATTTTCAGTCTCAGGAAACAGGGATGTAAACTAGATTTTCTTTGTCCCAAACTGCTCAACAATAAATATGGCAACTATATAACTATGAATGTCAGAATACTTAGGAATTACTGACCTAATTTATAGTTTATTTTTCTGGAGTGCTTCAGTGGCCTAGAGATGAAGACACTCACTTCCCATTTGAAAGGTTGAGAGATCAATCCTAGGCAGTGACAGATATTTCTCTATCAGTGCACAAAGAAATGATATCTGCTGTGAACTCTATATAGGAGTCAGGAAGGGCATCTGGCCAGTAAATGCTCAGTTCTCTTTAGTCACCCTGACCCCATCTCAATAAAAGGGATTATAGGATCATTAAAAAAAGAAAAAGAAAAAAGAAAACCTAGTTTCTTTTCTTCACAATGAACTTGGTCACCCTTGTAAACCCAAGGAAAAGCAAAGAGACGGTAGAAGAATTTCCTAGCAGAGTTTTGATAAAATCATATATTACATACTATGACACACTCAAGAAGACACTATAGAAACTAAGCTTCTGCTCAGCGTAGGAATCCAGATGAAAGCATCTCCAATGCTTTATATATACTTATAATGCCTTGGTAAGGCCACACTTGGAATACTGCATTCAATTTTTTTATTTATTTTTTTTAAATTTGATTTATATGCCGCCCTTCTCCGGAGACTCAGGGCGGCTTACAATGCGCTAAGCAATAGCCTTCATACTTTTGTATATTTATACAAAGTCAGCTTATTGCCCCCACAAACTGGGTCCTCATTTAACCTACCTTAGAAAAGATGGAAGGCTGAGTCAACTTTGAGCCTGGTGAGATTCGAACTTACAGTAATTGCAGACAGCTGGTGTTAATCACAATGCTTTTAGTCTGCTGAGCTACCAGGTCCATTTTGGTCGCCATGATGAAAAAAAGATGTTGAGACTCTAGAAAGAGTGCAGAGGAGAGCAATAAAGATGATTAGGGTACTCAAGGCTAAACATATAAAGAACGGCTGCAGGAATTCGGTATGTCTAGTTTAATGAAAAGAAGGACTAGGGGTGACATGATAGCAGTCTTCCAATATTTGAGGGGTTGCCATAAAGAAGAAGGGGTCAAGCTATTCTCCAAAGCACCAGAGGGTAGGACAAGAAGCAATGGGTGGAAACTAATCAAGGAGAAAAGCAACCTGGAACTAAGGAGAAATTTCCTGAAAGTGAGAGGAATTAATCAGTGGAACAACTTGCCTCCAGAAGTTGTAAATGCTCCAGCACTGGAAGTTTTTAAGAATACCTAAGAACAGAATAAGGTAGAGTAGAGTAGAGTAGAGTAGAGTAGAGTAGAGTAGAGTAGAGTAGAGTAGAGTAGAATAGGATAAGGAATAGGAATAGGAATAGGAATAGGAATAGGAATAGGAATAGGAAATGAATAGAATAGAATAGAATAGAATAGAATAGGATGGGATGGGATGGGATGGGTTGGGATGGGATGGGATGGGATGGGATGGGATGGGATGGGATGGGATGGGATGGGATGGGATGGGATGGACCTAGGCTTCCCCAAAAAGCACAAAGCAGATTCCTGGTCCCGACAAAACCACTTTTATTAAACAAACAGTGAATTCCTCTCATTCACCTTCAGCAAAGGCCTCGCAAACAGTCTTTCAAAGATGAATTTATGACTTCAGACCTTATCTATCTTGGACAGCTGCCATGTAAATATTTTCCAAAGGCAGTGCTGTGCAAGGAAAGACTTGGCATAGCATCTCTGAGATTCACGGACATTTCTTCACACTCCTGAACCGACTGACCAAACGAATTGTTTCCTTCAAAAGCCCACTCCCCTTTTGCTCCTCTTTTAATTCCTATGGGAATTAAATCATTCATCGTCCCCCTGTGGCCTTACTCCCAAGTCGACCCTTGTTCTTTAGCTGTTCCCTTCGTCTGGCAACTCTGCGCATGCGCACACTCGGAACAGGCTCCAGCTGTTCTTCTGCCTCACTGATGTCTGACTCTGAAGGCAGCTGATAGCTGGCATATGGCCCTGGCCCTCTCTCTGCATCCAAGAGCCCTCACCAGAGCCCTCCCCAGACTCCAGGACTGGCCCATGTTCCTCCCCAACCTCCTCACTGTCCAAATCTGCTACCAGATCCGCTGGCTGCTGGTGGGCCACAACAATGGAATGGAATGGAATGGAATGGAATGGGGTGGGATGGGATGGGATGGGATGGGATGGAATAGAATAGAGTAGAGTAGAGTAGAGTAGAGTAGAGTAGAGTAGAGTAGAGTAGAGTAGAGTAGAATAGAATAGAATAGAATAGAATAGAATAGAATAGAATAGAATAGAATAGAATTCCAGCTCAATCAGGAGAACCTATACCTATAGATTGGACAACCATTTGTCTGAAGTGGTGTAGGGTTTCCTGCCTAAGCAGGGAGGTTGGACTAGAAGACCTCCAAGGTCCCTTCCAACTCTGTTATTCTGTTCAACGTTAGTGGCTTTAGGCACAACCCAGCTAACGAGAAATTACACGCGTGGCCAGACCAAGGAAACACGTGGCTATTTAAGAGACATCGCGAAGCGATTTCCATGCAAACTTTCAAGGGCCGTTTTTCTCGGCAGGCTGGAAAAACTGCTGAGCTGAGCAGAAGCAATAGATTGCAGGGATGGAAGGAAATCAACTCTATAGGAAGAATGATCAGGATCTGAGGCCCCTAAGTGGCAGCTGAGTTCAGCTAGATGGTCTCTCTCTTTCCGTCAATTGTAATGGATTCAAGCCCCCCTCCCCATTCTTCTCTGCCTGCTCAGTATTGACTGGCTAATTGAGAGCATGGTGCACTAAATCAACATTAGATATATGATACCAAGTTGCTTTCAATTAAAACTCAAGATTCTCCACTCTGGAGGAACAGTTCTTTTTTGAAATGAAATATAAAATAAAATAAAATAAAATAAAATAAAATAAAATAAAATAAAATATAGTAAACTAACTCGTGTAGATTCGATTATAATCTTTCGGTTCAGGAAATAGATCGTTTTAAAAGCATTATTCATCGGAAAAGGGCTGTTTTGCTTCGTGATTTTTATTGAGTTATTCTGCAAAGCATTAATCTTCGAGCCGCTTCAGATCAGAGACAGTTTGCGATGTAACAATGGCTCTAATTATTCTAGCCAAGTTGTGTCTTGTTTTTTTTTTTTTTTTAATTTTATGAATAGCGTTTTATTTATGTCTCAATAAGTTTCTAGGATTCGTGGTTGGTTTCTCCAGGGTGAAGATCAACAAACTGAAACGCCCCTAACTAGGTAGATTACTGAAACTTCCCTCTTTTAAATCTTTTTTTTCCCAGCCATTTACCAATGTGACCGGCGTCGTGGATGATCGTGGAATGTGCCAATGCTTGGTTTACCTGCCCGATACAACATTTCCTGTACAGAAAGTGGAATACCTTGAAATTCTGGCTAAGGAGCTCTCCGCAAAATTTGACAGTGAACTTTCAAAAGTAAGTGGCTTTAGCCTTGATCATTAGGAGACCGAGCCAAAAGATAGCAGATCTGATAGCAAGTCCTTGATGTTTAGGTAGAACTTATCAGGTGCTTCAAGGTCTGGTTTCACAGGTAGCTTCCTTGTTGTTGTTGTTGTTGTTGTTGGAGGAGGAATTCTTGCCAAGGGAAGCTGAGAAGGAATGTGGTCTCTTAATTTCTTGTGCTATTGGGGGTGGGGTGGGGTGACAGGGCTAATTTGCATGGTCTCAACATGAGTGTATAGAGATCTTTGTGTGTGAGTCATGACAACGTCAAGGAAAGCCAAGTTTGGAAGCTGCCCAGATGTCACCTTGTGAGGAGATGGGCAGAATAAAAGTTTAATAGAGATAGATAGATAGATAGATAGATAGATAGAAAGATAGATATAGAAAGAAAGAAAGAAAGAAAGAAAGAAAGAAAGAAAGAAAGAAAGAAAGAATAGAGATAAATAGCTGGATAGCTGGATAGAGAGCTAGGGATAGAGATGATGGATGGATAAATATGGGTGGGTGGATGGATGGATGGATGAGTAGATAGATAGATAGATAGATAGATAGATAATAGATAGATAGACGGACAGACAGAAAGATAGACATAAACAGATATAGATAGATGGATAGATGAATAGATAGAAAGATAGAAAGATAGAAAGATAGAAAGATAGAAAGATAGATGGATAGATGGATGGATGGATGGATGGACAGACAGATGGACAGACAGACAGATGATAACAGAGAGATGGATAGATGGCTAGGTAGATAGTTGGATGGGTGGATAGTGATTGGGTAGGTGGATGGATGGATGGATGGATGGATGGTGGATGGATGGATAGATAGATAGATAGATAGATAGACGGACAGACAGAAAGATAGACATAAACAGATATAGATAGATGGATAGATGAATAGATAGAAAGATAGAAAATAGAAAGATAGAAAGATAGATGGATAGATGGATGATGGATGGATGGATGGACAGACAGATGGACAGACAGACAGATGATAACAGAGAGATGGATAGATGGCTAGGTAGATAGTTGGATGGGTGGATGAGTGATTGGGTAGGTGGATGGATGGATGGATGGATGGATGGTGGATGGATGGATAGATAGATAGATAGATAGATAGATAGATAGATAGA